CCTTGACCAATCAAGTGAGGTGTGTGCATGGCAAAACCTTCAAGAATTTGAATAAGGAATTTGAAGAAGATTAATAAAAAGATTTCTCATGCTCAGTTATCTATAGTATTAATATAGCAAAGACAGCCATCCTACTAAAGGCAATCTTCAGATTCAAGGTAATCAGCATCAAATTTCTAATACAGTTCATAACAGATCTTGAAATGACAATTCTCAGATTCATATGGAAACACAAAAAATGCCAGGATAACTAAAACTATCACAAACAACAGCCTGAGTTATCATCACCCAATTTTTTAAAAGTTGTACTACAAAGCTATGGTAAGAAAAACAGCCAGGCAGTGGTGGCACACACCTTTAATCCCAGCACTTGGGAGGCAGAGCCACATGGATCTTTGTGAGTTCGAGGCCAGCCTAGTCTACAGAGTGAGATCCAGGAAAGGCGAAAACCTACACAGAGAAACCCTGTCTAGAAAAAAAAATGTAAAACACCATAGCACTAGTACAAAAGTAGACATGGTGTCCAGTGAAATTTAGTTGAAGGCACAGATATAAGTCTAGATACCTATGAACATCTAATTTTTTTATAAAGAAACCAGAAATACACTCTGCAAAAAAAGACAGCATTTTCCACAAATGGTGCTGCTCAACTGCATGTCTGAATGTGGAAGAACACAAATAGATCCAGACTTATTAACCTGTACAAACCTCAACTCCAAATGGGCCTCAACATAAAAACAGATACATTGAAAATAATAGAAGAGGATGTTAGGAATAGCTTTGTATGTATTTACACAGAGGAAAGCTTTCTGAACAGAACTCTGCAAGCTCAGGCACCAAGATCAACAATTAATAAATGGGACCTCATGAAACTGAAAAGCTTGTGTAAGGCAAAGGACACTATACTTAGGACAAATCAATAGCCTACAGAATGGGAGAATGTTGTTACCAGTACTACTTCTGATAGAGGCCTATTATCTAAAATATATAAAGAATTCATGAATTTAGATATTAAAACATCAAATAACACAATAAATGGTGTATAGATGTTAACAGAGAAGTCTCAAAACAGGAAATTCAAATGGTTGTGAAATACTTAAAGAAATGCTCAACATCCATTACCTTACCCATCATGGGAATGTAAATTAAAACTACATTAAGAGTCTATCTTGTACCTGTCAAAATGTCAAAAAGTGGAACAAGAAAAACACTTATCCATTGCTGGTCAGAGTGCAAACTTATACAGCTAGTATGGAAATCAATATGGTTGTTCTTCAGTAATTTTTGAATTGATCTCCCTTAAGATCCATTTGTACCACTCTTAGATGCTCACCCAAAGGATGCTTCATTCTACCTCAGAGATACTTGCTAAACCATGTTCATTTCTGATTTATTCATAATAGCCAGGAATTGTTAAAATATAGATATTCCTCAAGAGATGAATAAATAAAGAAAATATGGTCCATTTATGAAAAGTATTATTACTCAGCTTCTTAAAATAGGGTCAGAGGAACATCCTGAAATTTTCAGATAAATGGATGGAAATAGTAAAAAAAAATATCCCGAGTGAGGTAAGCTTGAGCTATAAACATAAATATAATATATATGGATATTAAACATTAAGTAAATAACCAATCTATAATATATAGACCCAGAAAGGTTTAGTATAGAGAAAGAGACTATGGAGGGATTCATGGTCTCTCTGTGAGGGGAAAATAAATAGTTTTTATGGGTGGATGGGTCAGAGACAAGATGGAAATGATAAGATGGGGAATGTGAGGAAGATGGGATTGAATGAAAGAATGTAGAAAGAGAGGTTGGAATTGAGGGGCACTTGAGAGATGGTACGAAAATGTAGTGGAGTGGAAAGTTTCTAAAATATTTCAAAGCTAGTCTAATGATGTCTCCTAATAATGAGTGAGACAGAGTCTCAACTGGCAATCTTATATACTACATTGCATTCAATTGAGTTTTTGGCTAAGGGTGTCTCATGGAAATCCTCAGACAGCAATCATTGTTGCCAAGACAACGGGTGGCATTCTGCTGAGGACAACAGACTCACAAAGTCATTGTAATTGGAGAAATTGATCATCTTTATTATGGGAAGGTACTCTGCAAGCTACCAAAGGAAAAACATAAACACCAACAGGTTGTGTTTTGCCTACAAGTTATGCTACAGCAATGATGGTCCAGAAGTTAAAGGAGTAGCCAACTAATGTCTGATTTGACATAGGGACCACACCACAGGATGGAACACATACAAACAGTGTTTGAAAAACCAGGAACCAGAGACTAGAGAGCTCAGCAACCTGGTATAGATCAGAACACTACTTGATTTAAAAAAAATCATTAACATCCAATAATATTCTGCTATAATCACAAATTAGTGCCTTATTCAGATATCGTCAGAGAAACTTCCTCTTTAGCAGACAGGAACAGAAGCAAAGACTCACAGTTGGACATTAGACAGAGACAGAAATGTCCTTGGAACATACCGTCCTAAATGCGTCTCCTTTGAATCCCTCCCCTCTGAGTTTAGGGAACCTTATGGAAGAGATTAGATACACTGAAAGAGTCAAAGGTGAAGGACATTAGAAAAACAGGCCTTTTAAATCAACTGAGTAAGTGTAAGGTGAACTCACAGGGACTGAAGCAGCAATCACAGGCCTTATGTGGGTCTGCACTTAGTCCTCTTCCTATATATTTTAGCTTTGTATTTTTATGAGAGTCCTGAGTATGTGAGCAAGTAGGTCTCTGATTCGTTTGGCTGTTCTTGGGATTATGTTCCTTCTATTGAGTTGCCTGGTCAGGCCTCAGTGTAATGGTTTTTGTTTTATCTCATATTTTATTTTGTCATGTTTGGTAGTTATCTCTTAGAAATCTGTTCATTCCTAATGATAGACAAAAAGTGATTGGATTAGAGAACAGGGGATGTGGGGAAGTACTGAGAGGAATCAAGGAAGGGTAAACTGTAATCAGGAGATATGATAAGAATAGAATCTATTTTCAATTTAAAAACTAAAATAAGAAAATCATAGAATGTGATATATATCTTTTTCAATACTACTTCAATAAGTAAAATTTATGACATGGAGTTATTGAGTTGAAAACTTGAATAAACCATACACCTTGACCTTAGAGTTTTCTCTGACTCAAATTAAACTTGTTTGTAAAGCATTTTAGGCAAATGTCTATATTTAATTGGAAATGTCAGAGGGCAAATATATTTATAAACTATCATCCTATTTTCATTTTTGAAAATAAAACAAAACACAAAGATTTCATAATAAAAACAATTTATCATTTTCAGAAAAACCTCATGTATATTTTACTTTTAGCCATCTGTCAGAACTTTATCAACCAGGCACATTTACAATTCCTTTGTAGGACAATAAGGAATTGCTTTCCACAATCTCATGCAAGAGATTACAATGCATTCCATTTCAAATCTAAAGTAAATAAGAAGTAAAGAATTTTACTTTCTGTTTGTTTTTAACACTAACATGGATACTAAGTTGTAATTGTTCTTGTTTTCAGTAGGGCTCTCTTTGTAAAATAAAATACTTAAAATTTTAGATAAATGCAAAATATTTTATCTATGAATATTTGTAGTTTTTTGTTGTTTTTTTTTTTTTGTTGTTGTTTTTGTTTTTCGAGACAGGGTTTCTCTGTGTAGCTTTGCACCTTTCCTGGAGCTCACTTGGTAGCCCAGGCTGGCCTCAAACTCACAGAGATCCTCCTGGCTCTGCCTCCCGAGTGCTGGGATTAAAGGCATGCGCCACCACCGCCCGGCCGAATATTTGTATTTTTTTCCTGAGAATTTTTATAAAATAATAGTGCTTTACTGAATCATAGAAAGAAAAAAGAGACAGTCTTTTATACTAAGATACAGCATTATATTCCTTAAGGCCCAAGTCCATGCATTATAGAAGTACACACTTGATAGGACTCTCATACCCTGAAAAGAATATGCATCATTTTAACTCATACCAAGTTTAAGGGTAGTGCTACACAGAATTCTAATTGCATAAAAAACTTACGTAGGATTAAGACCACAAAATCTCAAAGTATTAGTAATGATAGAAGCACAAATACTTTTAAGTTAGAATTGTTTATGTGCCAACAGAACCTTTTAATATGTTCCTTCTGTGCCATCATGTAATGCATAGCTTATAGAAAAGAACAGTTCAGTCATGCTGCCATGCTCTAAGATTAAAGGCCTCTCAAGTGATCTTGGTTCTCTTCATTTTTCTTTCTTTCTTTCTTCCTTTCTTTCTTTCTTTCTTTCTTTCTTTCTTTCTTTCTTTCTTTCTTTCTTTCTTTCTTTCTTTCTTTCTTTCTCTCTTTCCTCTCTCTCTCTCTCTCTCTCTCTCTCTCTCTCTCTCTCTCTCTCTCTCCCTTCCTTCCTTCCTTCCTTCCTTCCTTCCTTCCTTCCTTCCTTCCTTCCTTCCTTCCTTCCTTTCTTTTTTGGGATTTTGGTTTTTATTTTTTGAGATATGTTATTTTCTGCATAGCCATGCCTCTCCTGGAACTTGAGATGTAGACCAGCCTGACCTGGAACTCACAGAGATCTGTCTGCCTCTGCCTCCCAATTACTGAGATTAAAGGTAAAAAAGGCATGTGCCACCACCTCCCAGCTTTGACCTTGGTTTTCTTTTTTTTTTATTTATTTTTTATTTTATTTTATTTTATTTTTTGGTTTTTTGAGACAGGGTTTCTCTGTGTAGCTTTGCGCCTTTTCTGGAACTCACTTGGTAGCCCAGGCTGGCCTTGAACTCACAGAGAACCGACTGGCTCTGCCTCCTAAGTGCTGGGATTAAAGGCGTGCGCCACCACCGCCCAGCCTTGACCTTGGTTTTCTACCTTTAAGGAATAAAATGTACTTTGGTGGTAATGAGCCCTTCATTCCTTCTCTAGGAAAAGCAGTGTTTCATGTTCATAAAGTCCAGCCAGTTGTTTCCTGGTTACAATCTGTAACAAGCAGAAAATCTTTGGCCTACCTCCTCACATGTAGTTCTGAAATCCATGTGCTGTGGTACTGTGAAGGATGTGGTCTGTAAAGAAAGAAAGAGTGAGTTATTCATAGGCAGCATGGAGGTCAATACAGAAAATAGCACAAGAAACCAAAGTACTGCTGTGAGAAAATAGCATTGATATCCAGCTATAAACAACAAAACAATAGGAAAAAGAAGACATTAAAAATATTCACCTCAACTTTTGTTAAAGTATGAACAACTCCCAATAATGCAGTATAATGGAGAACATTCCAATCCTAATTGGGCATGTTATTACCTTCTTTTCTCAGTTTTTTTTCTCAGTTGTATCATTTGTTTTGGAATCTCAGGTTTTGAGAGGGAGAACTTCAAAAAATGTAAATAAATATTGCCTTTCATCTGCTTATCTCTTGAATGAAAAGCTAATTAATCTTACTCTTTGTAATTGAAATGCTATATGCATGAATAATTCTCTCAGAAACTTAAATTTTTATACAGAAACAGTATGAGGCAATAAAGAAAGTTATTCACCATTTGCATAATGATAAGATAATTGAAAATAAAAATTTCCAACAAATATTTTCACATAGAGATGACTATATAGCTAAGTGATGAAGATAGATTTAAGTGGATATAATGATTTTAAACTTTTAGCATTCTGTTTACAATATATGTTGACCCTAAGAAAGGTAAGCATTGAAAAAACAACAACAACAACAACAAAAGAAAGGATCTCTATACAATAAAACAAGACAGTGTCCAGCTTAGCATAATAATTACACAGAGAACACTTCAGGGAAAATGTATAATTTTCAAGTAGAAAGTTCTCTGCTACTCAAAATGTACTGTCTTTGAAATAATAAAGCCCTTCTTCCTGTGTCACAGTGTGTTGTATGACATCAAGGAACACTTGATCAAGTAAGTGCAGAAAAACTGTGCCTTCACTGTCATTGATTGCTTGGCTCCCACATAATTGAAACTGGCCATTTCCAGTAAAAAAACTAAATATTTTATGGAACTTATAAACAATACAGAATATGTTTTCTGGATTGTCAACCTAATTTTACTTTTACTGAAATACATAAGATGACTTGTTGCCATACACTTACACAACAACAAATCATTAGCCATTAAAAGGCAGCCTTATGAAAAAAAAGGCTTTCCTTTCTACAAAAGTAAGAAAACTGGTATTACTTATAAAAAACAGAAGGAGAAGCACACAGACCTGAGTTCAATAGTTCAATACATTATACACATGTGAAGAAAAAGGAGGAGGAGGAGAAGGAGGGGGAGGGGGAGGGGGAGAGGGAGAGGGAGGAGACGGGCAAAGTAGATCTCTAGCATGCACTAGCAAGCCAGTCCAGCCAAATCAGTGAGCTCTAATTTCAGATTGGGACCATGTCTTAAAAAATAAGATAGAGAGTAATTGAGAAAATAACTTGGCATTGACCTCTAGCCTACAGACACACATATAAAGAAGTGCAAGTGCACAAAAACATACATGAACACCATGATACATAAATAAAAATAAGAGATGTTAAAATTAATCCTTTACTAGTAATAATTGATGATTGATACAGACATGAAGATATTAAGCAATAATATACACCAAACCTCATATTTAGATTCTTATACTGAATATAACTTAAGCATATGCAACTTAAGATATGTTATTTCATAACAATGTAATACATTTAAACAGTATCTCTACCTATTTGACTTTACTGTTTTATCATATCTTGCTTTTTATATTATTTAAAACAATCTTTAAGTTTAAAAAGTTTAAATATAGTTTGATGATATTCTTCTTCTCTATCCAAATCTAAATACTTTTTTATTCCCTAATCGTCCAACTTCAAGTTCTTTCTCAAAAAAAAAGCCAAATATAAAAACAAAACCCCAAAACCAAGAAAAAACAAAATAAAACCACACCAAAAAATAAGAAACAAACAAACAAAACAAGACACCAAACTTTGTGTGACCAAATAAGAGCACACACAGGAGCACAAACACACACACACACACACACACACACACACATACATACACACACAAAAAAAACAAAACAACAACAACAACAAAACAGACATGTTTGGTGTATGTTGATCCTGATGATGAGGCCTGTCTTAGTGTGGTTGATATCCCTGTATAATTATATTGATGAAAATTGCTTTTCTCTCTCCCAGCAAGTATAAATTATAGTTCATTCATTAAACTTTCCCCTAGTGGCTAAGATGTCATTAACTCATCCATATATATATATTTGTATGTTTATATATATATATATATCACAATCATTTCCAAGTTGGACAAAACAATAGAAGGAAAGATCACAAGAGAAGTCACAAGAATCAGAGGCCCACTCATTTTCACACTCAGGAATCACATAAAAACACTAAACTGGAAGCTCTAATATATACTCAGAAGACCTGGTGCAGACCCATGCAGGCTCTGTGCCTGCTGTGTTAGTCTTGGTAAGTTTTGCATGTGGTGACTTAGAGCAGTGGTCCTTAACCTGTGGGCCAAGGCCCCTTTGGGAATTTGAATGACCCTTTCAAAAGATCACCTAAAACCATTGGAAAACACAGATTCACAAAATAGGATTCACAAAAGCAGAAAAATTACAGTGATGAAGTAGCAACAAAAGTAATTTTATGGTTGGGGGTCACTACAACCTGAGGAATGTATTAAAGTGTTGAAGCATTAGGAAGGTTGAGAAATAGTGATGTAGAGGGTCTTATTTTCTTGATATCCTCCTTCAATTCTGGCTCATACAATCTCTTCACTTCTTTTTCTTTGGAGTTCCCTGAGCTCTGAGGGTAGGGATTTGTTGGAGACATCAGATTTATAGCTGAGTGTTCCAATATCTCTCACTCTCTGCATCATGTCTGGATATGGGTCTCTATATTTCTATCCATCTGCTGCAGAAGGTTGCATCTCTAATCATAGGAGAACAAAGTACTAATCTGTGCATATAGGAGAATATCACTAGGAATCATTTAGTCAGTAGCTTTTTTCATTTTTTACACAAATATTACTTGGTAGTGTCTTAAGTCCCTGAACTATCTAGTCTCTGGTCCTTGATCATCCAAACAATGTTAAGTATGGGTTTGATTTCATGGAGTGGGCCTTAAGTATTATCAGTTATTGCTGCTTGTTCCCACAAGCTCTGTGCCACAATAGCCCTAGCATAACTTGGAGTAAGGACACCATTGTAGATGAAGATTTTGAGACTGGCTAGGTGTTTACATTTCTTTTTTGATAGCGTGCATTGTACCTTCCTATACTTAAGATGCTGAAACATAGAGGTTAAGATCTATATAGGCACCGACTTGATATCAGCTGAGGAATTGGTGTGGTGAGGTTAGCTGTGGCCTGTTCTGTTTCTCTGATATTTCAACTTTCACCCCCACACCTGGCTCTGGGTTTATTTTTATTAACAAGACCCTTTAAGATTTGTGCTACATCTGGCACCCAATGTTTGTGGTATGAATTCACAAAAAAGCCACTTGCCTGTGGCCTTGCAGGCCCCAGCTCAGACCGGAGCTACCTTCAGCCAGTTGTGGTGGCACACGCTGGTAGGATTTACTGAAGGAGGCAGAGGAAGGAGGATCCCAAGTTTGAATCTGGCCTAGAAAGCTTGCTAAGATGAAGCCTGGGCCGAGCCAAAAACGGTGCCTGTGGAACAATGGAAGCAGCATTTGCTGCTCTGGGTTGCTGGCTCCTTCTCATCATGTTGGTGACTGCGGTGATGCTGCTACCTGTGATGAAGGGTTTGTTGCTGCTTGTTCAGAGAAGAATTGCCAGGACCGTTGTGTTACAAGGAAGCACTGACAAAGGTCAGTTTGGAAAAGTTTGGCAAGACAAATGGTGGGGAGAAATAGCTGTGAAGACATTGTCTTCTAGGGAAGAATGTTCATGGCTCTGAGAGACACACATTTATCAGACTGTGATTACTCCAAACCACAGAGGTGGCACAAAGAAAAAAATTCTGTAGGGAGACATGACCATGCCTAACAGCAACTTTGAAATCTTCAAAAGGATCATGGGACCCCACAAAGATGATTCCACATGGACTATGGTAAAACCATTAAGCTAATTAACACCACGGAAAGATCGGCTTTGGACTAGAAACTGCTCAGGACAATTTCAAGATGGCTAGCTGAGATGATCTAGATTCACAGACAACTCAAGCAAGGACTTGAGACAAGCCCTACATTTTCCTATTATGCAGAGACTGCACAACAAATGATACAGCTACCTCTCCCAAGACTTGACAATTAACACAAAAAATTTCTTTTCAGGATTCCCTAAAGTTGTCTTCACCCCCAGAAAGCAGGAAGTAATTTTAAGAAAATGATGTCCACATTCCCAAGAGATGGGGGAGGGGGGTGTTTTTGGTCATTCAGTGGCTTATGGATAATTGTTATGGTTTATGAAGTTTGGTTACAAGTTGTTAATTGTTAATGGTAAAAAACAAAAGCTAAACAAAGGAGATTCGATACAGGGTTCTCATTTAAAAAAAGAAGAAAAAGAAAAAGGATATAGAAAAGGGCAGATCATTGAATCAACTCTGAAAAAAGAGAAGATAAAAAGGAACTTCATGTTTTAAATAGGGTAAGTAATGAAAATTTTTTGTCTGAATTGGTCAAATGTTAATAGACTGGACATTGTTAATATATATAAAGGAGTTTTTTTCTGAATCTGTCAAATATTAATGGACTAGACATTATTAATGCAATTCTTGACTATATATATTGTATATACTTATTGGATATATTTTTTCTTGTATTAGTTATAAGCTTTTTTAAATTTAGACAAAAAAGGAATGTGGTGATATTGTGTTTCCCAATATATTGTGCACCCTAATAAACATATCTGGGATCAGAGAACAGAACAGCCACTAGATAGATATAGAGGCCAGAAAATATTGACACACATACCTTTAATCCTAGCATTCTGAAGGCAGAGATCTGTCTGGAACTCTGAGTTCAAAGCCACACTGCAAACAGCCCGGCATGGTGATACATGCTTTTAATCCCAGGAAGTGATGGCAAGAA